AGGGGGTCATTGATTTTCCTTATATGTATATAATAAAAACAAAAATAAATCTTTTAAAAAACCCAAAGAGCTAGAGTGTAGATATTAAAGATCCTGTATGTTTTGTGATTGATAGTGTTACTGTGTGTATACCACACTTGCAAAACATTATATATGTATATAATTATGCAAATTAAACAATTTTCAAACATCAAAGAATATGTAATATGTGTACTGCAAATATTTGTGCACATTATATTTAATCAATAAATTACATGCATTCATTTCTTATTGGAAAATTTGACTTATAATTTATAGAAAATAAATTTCTAATTACCTCCCTTTATTTACATGAAATGATAAATGGGGTAATATCTTTATAAATAATGCTTATTGGAACTTACAAGACAAATCTTAATTTGAGCATCGTATTTATGAAATAAAGCCATGAAAAAATTGTGTTACAGGATCTTTAAGCATGAACATCTTCTAGTGGGTGTCTACCATGTTTGTTCAAAAAAAGCAATGGGGTTAAATTGGCCGCGTCATAGGCAGTCATTGATTTTCCTTATATGCACATAGTAAAAATTTAAACTACCAAGTTTGTTAGAAAAAGAAGCACTGGGGTCAAAATTGGCTATGCCCCAGGTGGTCATTGAGTTATCTTATATTTACAAATCTTTTGGAACTGTTGTTTTCCCTTAGCAATAGCAACCATTAATGATTTTAAACATGCACTATTTCAGATACAAATATCAATTTTGTGATATCAGTTTTAGATTTAGATTCTAACACTCATTATTTTGTCACTTTAGACAAATAAGAGAAAAAAAAAATGTTAAACTGCCAATAAACACTGGTTAGGGACTACTTGTATATGCGGCTGTAATGTTTTCTCAATTGATTTTAGTTTACAAAGCCTTTTAAAGCAACAATAAAAAAGCATTTTTTTTATGCCCCCCTTCGAAGAAGAGGTATATTGTTTTGCTAATGTTTGTAGTTCTGTCTGTCTGTCGGTAGACCACATGTTTTCCGCTGATTATCTTGAAAACTATTCATCACAAAGTCTTCATATTCCACATATTGATTGGTCATAATAGTAGATGACCCCCATTGATTTTGGGGTCACTAGGTCGAAGTTCAAGGTCACAGGGGCCTCAAATGTCAGAATGGTTTCTGCTGATTATCTTAAAAAGTATTCATCACAAAGTCCTCATATTTCACATATTGATTGGTCATAACTAGTAGATGATCCCTATTGATTTTGGGGTCACTAGGTCAAAGGTCAAGGTCACAAGGGGCCTCAAATGTCAGAATGGTTTCCGCTGATTATCTTAAAAAGTATTCGTCACAAAGTCTTGATATTTCACATATTGATTGGTCATAACTAGTAGATGACCCCTATTGATTTTTGGGTCATTAGGTCAAAGGTCAAGGTCACTGGGCCTCAAATGTCAGAATGGTTTCCGCTCATTATCTTGGTTACAATTCATCGCAAAGTCTTCATATATCACATATTGATTGGTCATAACTAGTAGATGACCCCTATTAATTTTGGGGTCACTAAGTTAAAGGTCATGGTCACAGGGGCCTTGAATGGTAATATGATTTCCATTCATTAATATGACATGCTGCGAATCACCGAAGAGCAAACCAATATATGACTTTACATAATAGAAATCGGAAGGAGTTCTTGACTCGGAATTTAATTTTAGCTGTTAATCGAAGGGATTTATTGATAAAAATCGGGGCCCATGGACAAATAAAAAAGTAAACAAATAGCTCCATGCCCACAATTATTGAATTTTGGTTAAATTGTCATTATTTTATTTTTTATGTACAGATTTGAATTATACGGAAAAAACAAGACTTTTTACCAAACAAACCTATTGAATAATCTAGATTTTACCTTGACTTTAAATTGACCTTGACTGCCAAAGTCAAAATAATGAAATATTCTTTTTTTAGCTCACCTGACCATGAAATGGTCAAGGTGAGGTATAGTGATGGGGCTATGACCGGCGTTGTGCATCATCAACAATTGGGTTGTTAACACTTTAGCAGTCAAAGTTTTGATTGGATCATAATCAAACTTTGTCAGAATGTTTGTCTCAATGAAATACAGGCCAAGTTCAAATATGGGTCATTTCCCATCAAAAACTAGGTCAAAGGAGCTAAAAATAGAAAAAGCTTGTTAACACTTCAGTTTTGATCCAAATATTCTGGAAATTTGTCATGAAGGTTGTTTTGATGATTTATAGGTAAAGTTCGAATATGGGTCATATCCGGTCAAAAACTAGGTCACAGGAGCTAAAAATAGAAAAATCTTGTTAACACTCTAGTGGTTGCAGTTTTGATTCAAATATTCTAGAAATTTGTCCCTAAGGTTGTTTTGATGATGTCTAGGTCAAGTTCAAATATGGGTCATATCCGGTCAAAAACTAGGTCATAGGAGCTAAAAATAGAAAAAGCTTGTTATAACACTAGTGGCTGCAGTTTAGATCCAAATATTCTGGAAATTGGTCAGGAAGGTTGTTTTGATGATTTCTAGGTCAAGTTTGAATATGGGTCATTTCCAGTGAAAACTGTCACAGGAGCTAAAAATAGAAAAATCTTGTTAACACTCAAGTGACTGCAGTTTTGAATAAGATATTCTAGAAATTTGTCCGCAGGTTGTTTTGATGATTTCTAGGTCAAGTTTGAATATGGGTTATCTCCGGTCAAAAACTAGGTCACAAGAGTTAAAAATAGAAAAATCTTGTTAACACTCTACTGGCTGCAGTTGTGATCCAAATATCCTGGAAATTTATCCGGAAGATTTCTAGGTCATGTTCAACTATTGTTTATCTTCTCTCTAAAACTTGGTCACAGGAAAATAGAAAAATATTGTTAACAAGTGGCTGCAGTTTTGATCCAAATATTCTGGAAATTTGTCACAAATGATTTCTAGATCAAGTTCAAATATGGGTTGTCTCTGGTCAAAAACTAGATCACAAGAGCTTAAAATAGAAAAATCTTTTTAACTCTAGTTGCTACTGTTTTGATCGAAATATCCTGAAAATTTGTTTTGATGAATCCTAGGTCAAGTTCAAATATGGGTCACCTGGGGTCAAAAACTAGGTCACACTGCCCAAATATGGAAAAATACTCTATTGGTAAAATTTTTGACTCAATTGTCATCAAATTTGGTCAGGATTGCTTATCCAGTTAATTCGAATGCGGGTCATCTCTGATGTAAAACTAGAACACAGGAGCTAAAAAAATAGAAAAATCTTGTGAACTCTCTAGTGGCTAATGTTGTTATCCAAATAACCTAGAAATTGGTCTACCAGTTTGTTTTGATGATATTTAGGTCAAGTTTGAATATGGGTCACCTGGGGTCAAAAAGTAGGTCACACTGCCCAAATATAGATAAACCTTGATAACAATCTAGAGGTCACATTTTTAGCTCGACTTTTCTATGAAAAGGGGAGCTATCCTACTCGCCCCGGCGTCGGCGTCGGCATTGGCGTCACACCTTGGTTAAGTTTTTCGTACCACCCCACTTTATTTCAGAAGTATTACAAGTATGGCTTTGAAACTTACCATACTTGTTCACCATCATAACCTCCATCTACAGACAAGAGTACATAACTCTGTCAAGGTTTTTGACAGAATTATGGCCCTTTTTTGACTTAGAAAGTGTATTGAGCTTGGTTAAGTTTTTTGTACCACCTCACTTTATTTCAAAACCATTGGAGGTATTGCTTTGAAACTGACCATACTTGTTTACCATCACGACCTTCATCAACAGACAAGAGGACATAACTCTGTCAAGGTTTTTGACAGAATTATGCCCCTTTTTGACTTAGAAATACATTGAATATGGGTAAAATCCACTTATTGCCTTAACCCTTTGAGATATTGCTTTGAAACTTTTAATGCTATTTCACATCATTACCCCCATCTGTACGCAAGAGAAGGTAACTCTGTCAAGGATTTGTTTTAAAAATTAAGGCCTTTTATCGACTTAGAATCTTGGTTAAGTTTTTAGTACCAGTCCACTTTTTGACTGAACTGTTTGAGATATTAATTTGAAAGTTGGAATACTTGTTTACAATCATGATTCCCAAACATGTCCAGGAGAAGGTAATTCTGTCAAAGATTTTATTTGAATTATGGCCCTTAACTGTCAATGTTTTGTATTATAGGCAAGCACTAAAAAACTTAAAAAATCTAAAAAAATTCATTCCTATCCACTTGTTCACTTTACCATAAATTACACACAATTCAGTAAAATAATTCTTCACTAAATATCTTAATGCTCATGGCCATTGTTCACTTTAAAAATACAGAGATTCTTGTACTGCCTTTTACTGCAAAAACTTTTTTTATTGGCAAGCAATAAAAAAGTCGAGCGCGCTGTCTTACGGACAGCTCTTGTTGTCTCAATTGTCATCAAAGTTGGTCAGGATGCTTGGCTAAGACATTGGTCGGATGAGGTTGATGGGTCAGAGGAGCAATGTAGGGTCATATTGGCCCTCTTGTTTCTGTAACTGGCTATAACTTTGTTATTTTTAAATTGATTAACTACATATCTAGAAACAACATCTGTAAGGGCAGGACCTTGATTTACATCAAGCTCAAATTGACCTTGGCTCATGTATGACCTTGAAAGTCAAATTGAATTTACACTCATAATTGCTATAATCTACTGTAATGTGATAGGTAATAAATAGATTGTCTTCATATTTGGACAAGACCTTCTAAAACTTTGAAGTGACCTTGACCTTAAGCTGTAAATGACCTTGACTGTCAAGGTCAAAATAATGAAATTTGGTTAAATTATCATAATTTTATAATTATATAAATGATGAATGGTTTTGTCTACATTGAAAGATGGACAAGTCTATTTTAGATTTAAGCCTGTTAAGAGTTAAATTACTTGAAGCAAATCTGACTCCAATTAGACTGATTAGTACTTAAAGCACATTTTGTTGTATGAAATGTGTATATAACAAAGTTTTTTCCCTATATTTCAGTTGGTGCCAGAGCACGTAGTTATGACAGCAGAGGAAAAACAAGAATTGTTAGAGAGATAGTATCCTTCTATATCATGTTGAATTTCTTAAACATACTTGTCCAGCTTCCATTTTTGGAACTGTTCATTATCAATTTTGTGGATATCAAAATTTTAAGTTTTATTCAGTAATTTTTAGCTCACCTGAGGATGCTCAGGGTGAGCTTTTAGGATCGATGATTGTCCGTCGTCCGTCGTCTGTTCACATTTAGTTGTTAACACTCTAGCGGTCACATTTTTGCCTCAATCATCATCAAACTTGGTCAGGATGCTTGTCTAGGTGATAGCTCAGATGAGTCCCAACATGGGTCATCTCGGATGAAAAACTAGGTCACCGAAGCTAAAAATAGAAAAACCTTGTTAACACTCCAGCGGACACATTTTTGCCTCAATCATCATCAAACTTGGTCAGGATGCTTATCTAGGTGATAGCTCGGATTAGTTCGAACATGGGTCATCTCGGATGAAAAACTAGGTCATAAGAGCTAAAAATAGAAAAACCTTGTTAACACTCTAGCGGTCACATTTTTGCATCAATCATCATCAAACTTGGTCAGGATGCTTGTCTAGGTGATAGCTCGGATGAGATTGAACATGGGTCATCTCAGATGAAAAACTAGGTCACCGAAGCTAAAAATAGAAAAACCTTGTTAACACTCCAGCGGTCACATTTTTGCCTCAATCATCATCAAACCTTGTCAGGATGTTTATCTAGTTGAAAGCTAGCTTGGATGAGTTTAAACATGGGTCATCTCAAATGAAAAACTAGGTCACAAGAGCTAAAAATAGAAAAACTATGTTAACACTCTAGCGGTCACATTTTTGTCTCAATCATCATCAAACTTGGTCAGGATGCTTGTCTAGGTGATAGCTCGGATGAGTTCGAACATGGGTCATCTCGGATGAAAAAGTAGGTCACCGGAGCTAAAAATAGAAAAACCTTGTTTACACTCTAGCGGTCATATTATTGCATCAATCATCATCAAACTTGGTCAGGATGCTTGTTAGCTCACCAGAGCATGCTCAGGGTAAGCTTTTAGGATCGATGATTGTTCGTCTGCCGTCGTCCGTTCACATTTAGTTGTTTACACTCTAGCGGTCGCATTTTTGCCTCAATCATCATCAAACTTGGTCAGGATGCTTATCTAGTTGATAGCTCGGATGAGTTCAAACATGGCTCATCTCGGATGAAAAACTAGGTCAAAAGACCTAAAAATAGAAAAACCTTGTTAACACTCTAGAGGTCACATTTTTGCCTCAATCATCATCAAACTTGGTCAGGATGTTTGTCTAGGTGATAGCTCGGATGAGTTCGAACATGGGTCATCTTGGATGAAAAAGTAGGTCACCAGAGCTCAAAATAGAAAAACCTTGTTAACACTCTAGCGGTCACATTTTTGCATCAATCATCATCAAACTTGGTCAGGATGCTTGTCTAGGTGATAGCTCAAATGAGTTTGAACATGGGTCATCTCGGATGAAAAACTAGCTCACCGAAGCTAAAAATAGAAAAACCTTGAAAACACTCCAGGGGTCACATTTTTGCCTCAATCATCATCAAACTTGGTCAGGATACTTATCTAGTTGATAGCTCGGATGAGTTCGAACATGGGTCATCTCAGATGAAAAACAAGGTCACAAGAACTAAAAATAGAAAAACCTTGTTAACACTCTAGAGGTCACAATTTTGCCTCAATCATCATCAAAATTGGTCAGGATGTTTGTCTAGGTGATAGCTCGGATGAGTTCGAACATGGCTCATCTCGGATGAAAAAGAAGGTCACCAGAGCTAAAAATAGAAAAACCTTGTTAACACTCTAGCGGTCATATTTTTGCATCAATCATCATCAAACATGGTCAAGATGCTTGTCTAGTTGATAGCTCGGATGAGTTCGAACATGGGTCATCTCGGATGAAAAACTAGGTCACTCGAGCTAAAAATAGAAAAACCTTGTTAACACTCCAGCGGTCACATTTTTGCCTCAATCATCATCAAACTTGGTCAGGATGCTTATCTAGTTGATAGCTCGGATGAGTTTGAACATGGGTCATCTCGGATGAAGAACTAGGTCACAAGAGCTAAAAATAGAAAAACCATGTTAACAATCTAGTGGTCACATTTTTGTCTTAATCCTCATCAAACTTGGTCAGGATGCTTGTCTAGGTGATAGCTTGGATGAGTTCAAACATGGGTCATCTCGGATGAAAAAGTAGGTCACCTGAGCTAAAAATAGAAAAACCTTGTTAACACTCTAGCGGTCACATTTTTGCCTCAATCATCATCAAACTTGGTCAGGATGCTTGTCTAGGTGATAGCTTGGATGAGTTCGAACATGGGTCATCTCAGATGAAAAACTAGGTCACAGGAGCTAAAAATAGAAAAATCTTGTTAACACTCTAGCGGTCACATTTTTGACACAAGTGTCATCAAACTTGGTCAGGATGCTTGTCTAGGTAATTGCTCGGATGAGTTAAAAACATGGGTCATCTCGGATGAAAAACTAGGTCACAGGAGCTAAAAATAGAAAAATCTTGTTAACACTCTAGTGGCTTCTGTTGTGATCTAAATATTCTGTAAATTGGTCTGAAAGTTTGGTTTGATGATTTCTAAGTCAAGTTAGAACATGGGTCATCTTGGATGAAAAACTAGGTCACACCGCCCAAATATGGAAAAACCTTGTTAACATTCTAGTGGTCACATTTTGGACTCAATTTTCATCAATCTTGGTCAGGATGCTTGTCTAGGTAATTGCTCGGATGAGTTCCAAATCGGATATGAAACTAGGTCACCGGAGCTAAAAATAGAAAAATCTTGTTAACACTCTAGTTGCTACTGTTTTGATCCAAGTATCCTGGAAATTGGTCTGAAAGTTTGTTTTGATGATTTCTAGGTCATGTTTGAATATGGGTCACCTGGGTAAAAAACTTTTAGGATCGATGATTGTCCGTTGTCCATCGTCTGTTCACATTTAGTTGTTAAACACTCTGCGTCACATTTTTGCCTCAATCATCATCAAACTTGGTCAGGATGTTTGTCTAGGTGATAGCTCAGTTGAGTCCGAACATGGGTTATCTCGGATGAAAAACTAGGTCACCGAAGCTAAAAATAGAAAAATCTTGTTAACACTCCAGCGGACACATTTTTGCCTCAATCATCATCAAACTTGGTCAGGATGTTTAACCAGGTGATAGCTCGGATTAGTTCGAACATGGGTCATCTCGGATGAAAAAGTAGGTCAACGGACCAAAAAAATAGAAAAACCTTGTTAACACTCTAGTGGTCACATTTTTGCATCAATCATCATCAAACTTGGTCAGGATGCTTGTCTAGGTGATAGCTCAGATGAGTTCGAACATGGGTCATCTCGGATGAAAAACTAGGTCATAAGAGCTAAAAATAGAAAAACCTTGTTAACACTCTAGCGGTCACATTTTTGCATCAATCATCATCAAACTTGGTCAGGATGCTTGTCTAGGTGATAGCTCAAATGAGATTGAACATGGGTCATCTCAGATGAAAAACTAGGTCACGGAAGCTAAAAATAGAAAAACCTTGTTAACACTCCAGCGGTCACATTTTTGCCTCAATCATCATCAAACCTTGTCAGGATGTTATATCTAGTTGAAAGCTAGCTTGGATGAGTTTAAACATGGGTCATCTCAAATGAAAAACTAGGTCACAAGAGCTAAAAATAGAAAAACTATGTTAACACTCTAGCGGTCACATTTTTGTCTCAATCATCATCAAACTTGGTCAGGATGCTTGTCTAGGTGATAGCTCGGATGAGTTCGAACATGGGTCATCTCGGATGAAAAAGTAGGTCACCGGAGCTAAAAATAGAAAAACCTTGTTTACACTCTAGCGGTCATATTATTGCATCAATCATCATCAAACTTGGTCAAGATGCTTGTTAGCTCACCAGAGCATGCTCAGGGTAAGCTTTTAGGATCGATGATTGTTCGTCGGCCGTCGTCCGTTCACATTTAGTTGTTAACACTCTAGCGGTCGCATTTTTGCCTCAATCATCATCAAACTTGGTCAGGATGCTTATCTAGTTGATAGCTCGGATGAGTTCAAACATGGCTCATCTTGGATGAAAACCTAGGTCAAAAGAGCTAAAAATAGAAAAACCTTGTTAACACTCTAGAGGTCACATTTTTGCCTCAATCATCATCAAACTTGGTCAGGATGTTTGTCTAGGTGATAGCTCGGATTAGTTCGAACATGGGTCATCTCGGATGAAAAAGTAGGTCACCAGAGCTCAAAATAGAAAAACCTTGTTAACACTCTAGCGGTCACATTTTTGCATCAATCATCATCAAACTTGGTCAGGATGCTTGTCTAGGTGATAGCTCAAATGAGTTTGAACATGGGTCATCTCGGATGAAAAACTAGCTCACCGAAGCTAAAAATAGAAAAACCTTGAAAACACTCCAGGGGTCACATTTTTGCCTCAATCATCATCAAACTTGGTCAGGATACTTATCTACTTGATAGCTCGGATGAGTTCGAACATGGGTCATCTCAGATGAAAAACAAGGTCACAAGAACTAAAAATAGAAAAACCTTGTTAACACTCTAGAGGTCACAATTTTGCCTCAATCATCATCAAAATTGGTCAGGATGTTTGTCTAGGTGATAGCTCGGATGAGTTCGAACATGGCTCATCTCGGATGAAAAAGAAGGTCACCGGAGCTAAAAATAGAAAAACCTTGTTAACACTCTAGCGGTCACATTTTTGCATCAATCATCATCAAACATGGTCAAGATGCTTGTCTAGTTGATAGCTCGGATGAGTTCGAACATGGGTCATCTCGGATGAAAAACTAGGTCACTGGAGCTTAAAATAGAAAAACCTTGTTAACACTCCAGCGGTCACATTTTTGCCTCAATCATCATCAAACTTGGTCAGGATGCTTATCTAGTTGATAGCTCGGATGAGTTTGAACATGGGTCATCTCGGATGAAGAACTAGGTCACAAGAGCTAAAAATAGAAAAACCATGTTAACAATCTAGTTG